GGGGGGGGTCGTCACCTGTGTAATGTCTGATTCAGGCAGGAGCTGGCACAACAGGTTGGGGTTGCCAGGTTCAATAAAGTCAGAGTTCAGAGTTTGTTTTTTTAAACCTGTAGGATTTGCACTTTCAATTCGATTACCAGTCAGCAAATAATGTCAAAGGATCAGAATAAAAGCAAAAGCTTGTTTTGCCGGCACAGGAATGGCAACTCAAACTTTGACCGTCTCTCTTTATACCCTTTGTTATGGGTAAATATGCCAAGACTGTGACACTGTTGTACTTGTTCCTGAATTCAAAGCTTTTCAAGATCTCTGAAAGCCGTCAGGAATAAAGAAATATTCCATAAATAGATTTTGTGTTCCAGAAAAATTAGTTCGAGATTGATTTGATCACTGCTAGTCCAGTTGAGTCCTTTGTACTGGTCACATTACTGCTGTTAGGCCTGTAGCTAATTTTCTTTTTAATGGATTATAAACATCGTGATGATGTTGATGATAATGAATTTTAGTAATCCTAATAAGAAAAAACACTCATAAAAGTTTGTCATGTTATCGCGGGCTCTGATCTGTGCCTCACTCTGATGGGCGTACACTCTCACAAACACACACACGCACACACACACATGCTCTTCCTTTCTGACATACTCACACTTGCACACATTGAATCTGACACTGTCATTCTGAGAAATTGATTCTTCACAGAAATTAATTAATTTTCATTTGGCCCCAAGCGGCAGCTTAAATCAGGACAAGCTCACTCACTCACTCACTGATCCTTTTTGCTTTCTCTCCTTCTCCTTTCCTCCCTGCCTCCCTCTCCCTCCTTAATAACTAGCTGTCTTATCATATCAACACTCTTTAGCCCTGAGCATCAGAACAGAGGAGATGATTAAATGAATTCTCGGTATTTATGATGCGATTATGTAAATGAGTTGTTTTGCAGAACTCCGATGGTGACCAACAACATGGGTCATCAATCCAGTGCGGCGCTGAGATGTTTGGATAAAGGGGCGAAATTGGCTGGGATTTGTGGTTTCCTGGTGCCTCAGCCTGCTGTCATGCAGACCACATGCTCGTAACAGCATGGGTTTGAATCCAGAGGAGTGTGGATTAGTCTTAGTTTTGGGAATTTGTATTGTTTGATGGTTAATCCTTGCTCCTTGGAGCATGAATGATCCAATTTACACCTGCCATTAACTGCTGATACAGGATGCATCAAGATGTGCACAGATAAACCTCACAAAAACAACACCTGAACTCAATTTTCTCCTATTTCTGAAATCACTGCAGTGCATTGACAAGTTTATGTTTAGTTTAGTTTGTGTTTTTTTTTTAAAACAAAATGGAGCTGCATTTAATTTCCAGATTAGAGGTTTAAAGACAAGTTTTGACTTGTTGAGGAAACCCAGAAACCCTCCAAAACACTTATGAGAAACATCTTTTAGCTCTGTGTTTGTGGATTAGCACCTGCGCCTAAGCTTTTGCGGCCCTCCAACCAAGACAAAATCCAGATGCATCCTCTGGCTGCTTTGGGATTTCTTCTATGTCTGGTGTTAATGGGAACGTTGTTATACAAGCCCTGAAAATACACAGCCTCTGCCGTCTCTAATTATCCACACAACACTCAAACAGCCTTTAGTTAATGAGATCTGAAAACATCACTCGTCTGAAATCTTCAAACAACTTGCCCGATTCTTTGTCTGAAGGCTTCAAATGTGCTGCGGTAGCCGTTAGTATCAGCCCCCCACATTAGAAGTTTTAAGTAATCCGTCGTGCGGATGGAGCAGCGTACTGTAACAGGTAAAAAGTGAGATTCAAGAAGGTTCTCGTCAAAGGAGCCAGGTGAGCCGGCTGACTACACCTAAAAGTTTCAAGAACATCTCCAAGCGTGCGATAATGTGGCTCTCTGACAGCGTCAGGGCTCACTGAAGGCTTCTGTTACTGATTAAGACAGCCATCACTTATTATTTTCCAGTTCAGTACAGTCAGACAGGCTGGAGGAAAAATAACAGACCTGTCGGACAGTTTAACATGACTAACGGAAAGATTAAGGTGGATTCCTGCTGCGTACTGTTTACTCATTCGACCTTTTCAACAAAAAAAAATCCATCTCACAATGTGTTTGGAAGGAGCGGTTGTGAAAATGTGCCCTATTTGAGATTGTCTTTCTTCTCTTCTTTTGTGTCACGCTTTCCCCTGTGCTGTGTGTATACACACACACACACACTCGGACCACTAACTCACCAAACCATGAAGAAGGGCCGACTTCACCCTCACTCACAGCCTAGTTATAATTCATACATAGGTGGCACACAAACACACACAAACTCCCTGTCGTCGGCCAACACACACCAACTCGCACGGTCACGCCTGTGTGTTTGCTGGCTTTGCAGCTAAATGACATTAGTTCCACAGAGAGAACATGGCGTGTAGGAGGCAACCTGATCCTCCGTCCCTTTCTTTCTTCCACACAAAGGAACAGTTTCATTCTCTGTTGGTAACACACATCAAACAGTTGGCTCAGGTCAAACCGTGTGTGCGTTACACATATATGTATATATTATGCAGAGGCCAGCCCCTCCCTTGTTACATAAAAGTGGTGTAATGTGATGATGGACAAGATCTATTTTTTGCCAAAGAATGTGCTAATGTCGACCTCTGCTTTGTGCAAACGTCCTCGTCCATCTTTTACACTTACAAACAGAGACTAAGAGAAGATAGAGGCAAAAGATTAGGTTTTCCACTTCAAATTTTCCGGTTTGGTTTGCTTACCTTTAATTCCTGCTTCCAGTCTGCTGTAATGGAAGCGAATGCTCTTTTATTTCAAACGCACTCAACATCAGGTGGCAACAGTTATCAGTTTTCTTCTAAAGGAATTCCCTCCGTCAGAATTGTCAATAGTGTTGTTATGGTTAATGGTTAATACATCTTAATAAAAATCCATTCAACACACATTTGTAGGGAGTAAGAGCAAATCCTCTGCGTGCTTAACCTGGCTCAGGCATTAACAGAGGTATAAGGGAAATGTGGGGTTTTATGTAGATTTGGTTGACTTTGCTTCTCTTTCAACAAGTAATAAGGGGGAAAAAAAGCAGCTTCATAATGAAACAGGTGGAAGCACTGTGAAAAAAAATGACTGATTGAAATAAAACGATGAATGATAAATGAGTTAAAGTTTCCTGTGGAGAGCAACAAAAGCCGTCTCTTTGTGTTTCTTAGTGGCAATGTGCGGCCTCGCGAGTTGGCAGTTGTTTTGTGTACGTGTGTGTGTGTGTGTGTGTGAGAGCATGGGAAGGTGGACTCCGTAAAGCCGAGCCCCACCGCCTCACCATAACTCATTGTCAAAGTCAGCAGTGTTGGGATGAAGAGGAGGAGGGCTGCGCTGAAGTGTGTGTGTGTGTGTGTGTGCATTAGGGTGGGGTATGTCGGCTCAACTTTAACCTCCAAACTCTTTTGATGTTTTATAGCGAGGAGCCCGATAAGACACAGCGGGCCCTCCGTGTCTTGCTCCGCGACTTTTAATGGAAAATGCGCTGTTACTTGTACAGAAATACGGTCATGACATCGTCTTGACCCTGGAATGTGGGAGAGGAATGCAAGACGGTATCAGTTCAGGAGATCAGATTTTTTGCCATGATCAAACGTCCCGTGTGTGTCTGTTGTCCCGCCTGCCTCTTTCATGACATCATGACACAGACTTTAATAATAACAATGGCGCGCAAAGCCTTCTTTCTTTCTTTTTTTTTTAGGGGGGGGGGGGGGGGGGGGGTCCTTGGTTTGAGAGAAAACTCACGACATCAATCTTTCCATGCGTTCTCTAAGCAGTAACATAAGTCTTCCACCGAACAGCGACCGCGTTATGATTTATCAAACCAGGCCGTGACGGCGAATACAAACCCATGTGATAAACACAAATAGAAAAGGATGGGAGCATGGGAGCTGTAAACCGCTGCTAATGTATTCCAAACAAAATCTTGTTTGAGCAAGTTCCTTTTTTCCCCCCCCCTCCTCTCCGTCTCCTACCCACTCTCACATAAACACATGCACACACAGCTGCTACCTATCAGCACCTC